CATCCCAAACACTTGTATATCTCTTAGTGTGGCTCAGGCTAAAAGGTGAAGATATTGTAACAATTTCAGGGATGGATATCTTATGACTGTTTTGAACTACAACTCCCATGATCCTTCCCCATTAGCTCTGCTGGCTAATGCTGTTGCAAGTTGTAGGCCAAAACATTTGTGGGGGCATAAGCTGTCCAACTCTGTTCTAACCCCATATATCACATATGGGCTGCAGTGAAAGTTTAAAATCATTTACCACTGATTAATTCACCTTAATCCAATTGAACCACTTTTTATGAACATAAGATATAGATTGTTCTTCAATATATGTATGCAAAATGGCAAATATACATACTTTAATTTGCATAGAACTAAGGACTTGCAATTATTCATAAAATACCTTGCACAATCTGGGGTATGTAGTATACCCTAATATTTCTCTTTTTCAGTTGACAAAAGCTAGTGCATGGGCTTGAACTGTATTTTCTAAGAAAATATAAATGCAACACACTTGTTAAAGGCTACTCCTGTTTCTTGGGTTTCTTGACACCTGGGAATTTCAGTCTGGATACTGTTGAATCTGTCTTCCAAACGAACACGGACTGCAGATTTAGCTCTAGATTCAAGAAGCGGTGCTGAATTTTCCAGAAGCACATTTTCTTTATTTATGCTACCCAAGTTTTCATTGTGTTTAACTTTGACTAAACTCTGCCCAGAAGCATCTCCAGAGTTAGGTGTTTTTTCAGCTTGGTTTGGAGGAAGACTAGTTTCACTAAGCAACATCATCCTTAACTCCTGGAAGTCAATATGCCCTAAACACTGATTAGGACCCATGAAACTGCTGTCAGAAGCCAAACCAGACTGGCAGATAATAGGGTAGAGTGACTGGTTACCAGAGCTGTTTGATGAAAAGGCACCTTGATTGCATGATGACAGATATTGTGACTGATTTGGAGCATTGTTGGTTGAGAAGCAATTTGAATTTAACCTATTTTCTGTTTCACTTTCACTTGCTTGTGCCTCCATATGTGAATAGAGTATATGCTGAAGTTGAGTGTATTCTATTTCTGTCATTTCCACCAGGTTGAGGTCTGTGGTGGTGAAGCTAAGGTTGTGCTCACCAAAAGAGGAATCACTTGGGCCATCAGCAACTGGAGCAGCTGAAGCTGGATCCGTAACCACAACTCGAGAGTTGGGCACTTCAGACTCCTTGGTGGTTGAGCCTGACATGATTCTGAAGAATACCGATAACACAAAGTCTTTTGACAGCTGAATGTACAAAGAGGAAATGCCACCCACTTGATGATCCAAAACTGTGCAATATTATTAAAGGAGAGCAATTTTGTTATTATTATTATATGGAAATGGGGGATTAGATTGCCTCATCCTACTATTACACCCTCCTCTCCACCAAGATATCAACATTCCTCAGAGTACCATCACCAGAACATCAGCTCATCCAAAAGCTGATGTGTGGGCTACTGCTTTAAAAATCTCAATGGCAAGTTCTTCAAAACGTGCCTGAAGTTAAATGCTGCCAAGCAAAATACCCCAACCTCCCCTCAATAAATAAATACATGTGCTTTTGGGGAAGAGAGCTAATCTATAAAAAGGGGGAAACACCATAGGCTTCCACTCCCAGAGGCAAAAACAGAAAGCACCCTAGCAATACAAAGAAGATTGCACACTGCCCTTTAAAAATACGACGAGAAGCGCCCTCTTTAAAACCCAAGCAGAAGGTGCGTTTAGCCTCACATTCCTGAGAGGCCAAATGGCCCACCAGCTTCTCCGGGGCATGCACTCAGAGCCCTTCCCCGCCGGGGTGAGCGGCGCCGGGCCCGTTACAAGCAGGCCAGCGGCCGCGGCTCCCCAGGCCTCACCAGGCAGGCCCCGCAGCGCCACCCGGGGGTAACCAAGGCCACCTTAGCAACCGACGGCGGGCCGGCGGGAGGAGCGGCCCCGCCCACCCGGCCGCCTGCCCTCGCGGCCATCTCCCAAACGGTCCCCAGCGCCCAGGCCCCGCCCTTCCCTCTAGCCCCGCCTCCTGCAACCCCCCAACGGTGAAAACTGCAAAGCGAGGAGGGGTGGGGCGAGAGCGTGTGAGCGTCCGGGGGGTGTCTCCCTTGCCCGGCCCCGCCCACACGCCTCCGCCCGGGGGCGGGGCCACGGTCGCGCTCGGCGGAGCTGCCAGCTCCGTGCGCCTCGCCCGCTCAGTGCTTTTCCCCTGCGCGCGAGCCTTCGCCCCCCCGTAGGACAAGCCGGCCTAGACGCGCCTCGCCTGCCTCCCGCGTGGCGGCTCCCCGCGCCTCGCCTCGCCTCGGCCGCCCTCAGTTCCCCGGCTTTGCCTCAGCCGGAAACGCTCGCCTTCCCAGCCCTCGACCATCCCCCGCGCTCCAGGTTCTTCGCACCGAAGCCCTCGCCGCCTTTTCCGCCCGAAAAACACGCCTGCCTTTTACCACCTGCCGCCAGCGGACTGAGCTGGTCACCCGGCGCCCGCAGGGTGGCCCCGGTCTGTGTCTTAGAGCCCCCTTGTCCGCCCCGCAGGCATCGGGAGCAAGCGCACCTCGCTTTCATAAGTACTTCCATGGGGACCCCCCACCCCGGGCCCCAGGGCATGGACGGCATCTCCGGGAGGAGCAGGAAAGCTCCTGCCTGAAGCCCGGGAGAAGGAGAGCCGCTGCCGCCTCCTGGGCAGACAGCCCTGGGCTCGATTCCGTGCCCATGTTCCCCAGCTGCAGCACCGGCGGGAGGAGCCGATCAGGCGCGCCGGCCCCTTCCCCTGCCGCACGCCGAGCAAGCTCCGCAGCGCCCTCCTCCTCCAGCCAGCACCATCTCTTGCGGATGCAACAGGTGTTAAAGTGGATTTCCGGTTAAGAGTCACCTGGCAAAAATTTTAAATAATTTTTAAATAAAATAAAAATTTGAAACACGCTTGCTTTCGATTTATTTTGAAATTGCACTTTAAGAAAAGCAGCGCTCACTTGGCTTTCTAATATTGCAGGTTCTTCCTCATAGTCTGTTAATAGTATTTATTTTATTCTTTGGCCAGGGCGACTTATTTTACATTGTTAAATTGTTTTATATTGTTAATGTATAGTATTTTAATTGCTTTATTTGTGAGCCGCCCCGAGGCTTCGGCGAATGGGGCGGCATAGAAATTTTCTAAATAAATAGGCTACGTCTTTGAAAGGCTATCATCCTGATAGCTCTTGTGTATAGTTTCTGTTCCCCTTATATTGTTCTGACTTCTCTTTATTTTATCCTAGGCTCATAGTATGTGCCCCTGTTGTCCTTTTGGCATTTCTAATCTAGGTTTTAATTTCCCTTTAATATTTTCGATCTTCTGGAAGAGAGGTCTTGTTTTTCCTCTTTTGTTGTTCTATGTCTTTGCACTGGCCAATATAATTATTATTTTTGTATGATAGTCACTGAAAAGCTGCATTCAGATTTTGACCTATTTCTGTCACCTTTTGCTTTTGCTTCTTGCCTGTGCTTAGCAATTGTGAGTGTTTTATCCATCATCCATCTAGGCTTTCCCCTCCCCTCCTTCCTTCCTTCCTTCCTTCCTGCTACACTAATTGTTTTTTGGCATTCTTCGCTAACAAACATTCTAGTTTCCTTCCACAGTTATGGTTCATGGTCAATTGAGTACAATAATGTAAACCTGTTCATGTGGACTATAAATTCCTCAGGGATGTTTTGAATTCAAATTTGGCACAATGCTTTTGTTAGTGTTGATCAATTTATTTCATTTTTATAACACCCAATAGCCAAAGCTACCTGGCTGGTTAACAAAAGAAAGACATAAAACAGTCAGACCACAGCAATTGCAGCCAAATCTGCAGAAAGGCATAGCAGTGGTACAGAAAAAAATGGAATATTAACAATTAAAGTTAAAATGTTAACTATTAAAATACAGAGCAAATGTAAAGGTTTTCACCTGGTGCATGAAAGAACTGGGAGTAGGTGCCAGGTGTGCCTCTTTGAGGAGTCATTCCATAGTCAAGGTGCCATAACTGAAAAGGCCCTGCTCCTGGTAGCCACTTTCCTGCCTTTGAAGGAGGCTCCCAGAGAAAGACCCCCTGAAGAGGACCTTAGGGTCCAGGTAGGTCCATACGGGGCACACATCAAGCCCCACTGGCAGCCAATGCAGTTGGAAGGGGACCGGCACACTACGTTCTTGTAAGCTGGTTCCCATTAACAATCTTGCTGGTCTGTTTGGGATCAGTTGAAGTCTCCAGACCATTTCCAAGGGCAGCCCCATGTACAGTGCATTGTGATAATCCAAATTAGAGGTTACCAGAGTGTGGATTACTGTAGCCACGATCTGTCCATCCAGACCGGGTTGCAGTTGATGTGACAGCTTAAGCTGATCAAAGGTGCTTTACGCCACTAAATCCACTTGTGAGCTTTGGATGCAGTAGCACCAAGCTGCGAACCTTATCCTTTAGGGCGAGTGCAGCCCTATCCAGGACAGCTTGAATATGACCCAGGTGAACAGACACTGCCCCACCCTGGCCCCACTAAAGCACCTCTGTCTTGACTGGATTGTCTGTTTGCAGGCCTCATCCAGTCCATTTCCATGCTCAGACACGGATTCAGAATGGCCTGGGTTTGATGAAAGAGAGAGGTAGAGCTGGTTGTTGTCTGTAGATGCTAAGGAGCATATGGGATAGAATGGAGTGCTCCAAGATCCCATAGCACAGCTGCCACAGTGCCGACCAATAATCCCCGGCACTACCTTCAGAGCTGAATTGACAGTGCGATATGCTGATGACAGCTTTGCCACCCCCCACACTGCAAATGTGAACGAATCAACATTGTGCTGACAGGTTTGGGTAAGGCAAAACAAAATCACAGTGTTTGCTGCTTTATTTTAAAGGAAAATATCTGAGCGAAAACGTCTATTTTTGTAAGATGATCTGAAATTGTATAAACAAAATGAAGAAATAAGACTAGTGGATTATCTGGTAGATGTTGCAAACAATTCTTATAAAAAACATCCATGCTAAGGTTTTCTGTAGATGTTTATTTGAATTACAGTAACAAAAACATATGAAGTTCCACATTTAATGTACAATGATATATTCTGAAATATAAAATACAATTTACAGAAACCTCTGTCAAGTAAACCTAAACAAACACTTGATTTTGCATACATACATGTATGTCTTTAAGTTAGAAATGTCTTGAATTAAAAAAATTACATCATAGTACATATTTTTGTTCAACACTCTCTTTAGTATTTTGCAAAAGATTTTGCATACAGGTCATTTTTAAATCAGAATGTCTTTGATGTTTAAAGACTAAGATGTACCAATATAGTGTAAATCTGTAGTGATTTATTCATGGAGTAGTGCTACCGGTAATGCAGATTTCAAAATGCAGATGATATGAATCTAATTTTACACTTGAAAATGCTTATAAAAATATCAAAGTAACTGCACATCTGTAAATGTATAAATCCAGTTAAACCTATTTTTTTCTATGCATTTAGAATTACGAACTTGGAAGAATACAGGAAAACTAATAGTATACTGCATTTCACAGTGAAAATCTCTCCCTTTTGAAGCACAGAATTGTTAGTATCAGCTTTACTACTCCAACTTTGTACAAATATTTACTTCCAATATTTCAAGATAACTAAGTTTGACACGAACAGAACTGAAGTCATAGTCCAGTCCAAATCAAGCACATTAAAGTTCCATTGACCTCTGGCTTATTACAGGCTTAAATCTCTCTCACAGAAACCAATATGACTTTAAAGTGTTTAAGCTTGGCTAGAATATCTTCAGATATTTTAATTTATGAGTCTTTTTGACCAAAAATTACAGGAAAAGCCAATGCTTAATTTTAAATACTCTTTCTCTGGCTGAATTATTAGTTCTGGTAGCTATTTCACTTTTGTTTGGCCAATTTATAAAATGTTTTTCAATAAGCATGTTTTAAAAGCTTAGATATATTTTATACAGATGTAATTTTCATCTATAATGTTTGGTAAAAATGCAACATTTAAAACCTTTTATTCACAGGAAAGGTAGTAATTTAGACATACTCATTTCTTGCCTGAACTCTTACCTGTTGAATCAAATGACCAGTTTAACTCAAAATGCCTTCATGTAAAAAGATAATGAACTCAGAAGCTCAGCATTTCTTAGTCATTCTGCAAGTAGTAACACTGTTCCTTAGCCATCATTTCTTAAATACACCAAACCCTTCATAATTAACTCAAACATTGGGCTCTCTTGTACATCAGAATTGCAGGAGACACAAAAATACCCTATATTTGAGTTTTAAAGGTATGGCTTCTAAGATCTTGCTTAAATTTCCATAAAATTGCAATTCAAGTTACTGGAAAACAAAACTTTATATCCTAAAAAGCAATGTACTCTTTGAAGATAGTGCCTGTGTTTACACCTGTAAATTGAAATTTCAAGGTAAAGGAAGAATTAGGGAAACAAAACTTTTTAGAATAATGATGCTACAGCCAGGATCCCTCCAGGTATTGTTGCAACACCTGCATAAGGGCTCAACAGATCCCTTTTTCCAGAAACCCACCCAAGCAAGTAATTCACTGGCCCAAGAAGAGGAAGAATAAAGCTCTCAAGCTCTACTAGAATCTATCTGTATAGGACCAAAGTATTTTGTAAGAAAACATTGTGAACAAAAGGTTGCAACTCCCACATGTGCTGCTTGAGATATGAATATATGCATTTACAATTCAAAATGTTTCTCATATTTGTGAAATCAGTTTTGTACCAAGTATTTTCGAACAAACAATATACAATATGTACACAGTCAATTTTTACAATCGTTTTCTTTGCAGTGACTCATTGGCGGAATTTTGCGTTTTATGTCTGCTTAGCGGATGGAGCAGCTTCTGGCTGTGATAGCCTTTGACCACCTGTCTGGGTTTCTGGCTTAGAGTCCTTGTCGCATTCCATACTTCTGCTCCGGTCCTTGCGATCTCTTGCTCTGTCTTTGTCACGATCCCGATCCCTGTCCCTGTCTTTTTCCCTCTCCCTGCTTCGAGCTCGGTCTCTTTCCCTGAATCTGTCATAATCACGATCTCTGCTTCTTGATCTGTCTCGTCTTCTGTAAGTATCCCCATCTCTGTTTCTAGTTCTCTCTCGGTTTCTGTCCCAATCTTTACCCCGTTCCGATTCTCTTTCCCTGTCTTTGTTATAGTTTCTATCTCTGTTTTTATCCCAGTCTTTTTCTTTGTGTCTCTCCCAGTCTCTTTCCCTACCCCTATTCCAGTTTCTGCCACGGTCCCTTTCCCAAGCCCAGTTATGGTCGCGATCTCTTCGTCTGTCATCAGTTCCTCTATTTGACCGATTCTCTGATTGATCAGGCGGCTCTACTATTTTTTCTTTATTACCTCCCTCAAATCTTTCTCTCTGTCTCCCGTCAAAATTCTGGGCTCGGTAGTCATTACTTCGGCTTTCTCGGAAATCAGTTGCTGGCCACTGTGCTTCTGACTCAGAACTCTGTGTTGAAACGTTGGGATGAGAGGCAGGTGGTCCAGTTTCATCCCACAACTCTTTCCTATGTTGTGGTAGATGACTTGGGAGATCCAGGAGTGGTCTGGGGGCTGGTTTCATACTTTGCTGGGACTGTCCTGGAAAATTAAGTCTATTAGAGGGAGGCTCATTTTGCTCTGGAAATGGCCCAGATGCAGCCCCCCGTGGTCCTCCAAACTGATGTGGTGCTGGACCTCTCTGGTTTGGAAATCTGGGTGGAGGGCTTCCTCTTCGTTCTTCAAAGGGTGGTGGTAAAAGTCCCCTTGGTCCCGGCATGTGACCTGGAGCAGGTCCTCTTTGCCCTTCAAATTGATTTGGAGGAGGGCCTCTTGAACCTCCAAAATGGTTAGGTGGTGGTCCTCTTGGCCCTCCAAACTGAGCTGATGGCCCTCCTCTTTGACCTTTAAATTGATTTGGTGGAGGCCTCCTTTGGCCTCCGATAGGGAAGGGTGCAGGCCCTCTATTACCCATAAACTGAGGAGGCTCAGGTCCTTCAAACTGTCCAGGAGGCCCACTCATCTCATGAAACTGAGCATCTGGAAATTCCCTGTGTTCCATATGAGGTTCCCGGTGATCTTCAAACTGAGAGGGTGCTTTCTCTCTCGGCCCACCATGAAATGATGGTGACGGACCCCTGTTATCACCAAACAGAGGGGGTGGTCCATGCTGTGCAGAAAACAATGAAGGAATTGGTGCTCTTGGGGCTCCAAACCTGTTTGGAGGAGTCCCTCTTTGTCCATCGTTATTTGGAGGAGGATTATGGCCCTCAGCATACTGTGGTGCTGGACCTCTCTGGCCATGGAAATCGGGAGCACCACACATCAAGGGAGACCCACCTTTTTGTCCAAGGGAAGAAAATGGGGGTCCAACTCTTACTTCTTCATTTTGAATTGTGGAGGATTCCATTTGTTCATAAAAGTGAGGATTTCTTTGGTCTGCGTAATGTGACGAGCCTCTTTCTGCTTCAAAGTGACCAGGGATGTTCTCCTGAGCTGTGAACATTGGGCCTGAAAAGGAATCCCTTACTACCCCTGGAGCACTGTTGTCCTGAGATTCATTTGACCAAGCTACAGTCTGAGCATTGTTGGGTGCAGAGAAAGCGGGGATGAAACATGTACTAGGTGGTGTGGGCAACAGTACTTTACGAACAGGGGCAGCTGTGGATGTTTCAACAGCAGCTGCGTTATGCAGAGCTTCCTGGTGAACTTGTGGAGCATTTTCAAACTTGATAGGAACATCTTGTTCAGAGAGAACAGAACTTTTTTCACTTGTAAGCCATGCATCATTAAGACTAGCCTGACTAACAGAACTCAACATTTTATCTTCTTTGTCAAGTGATGTTTGTAATGGACCTGAATAGCTGGGTGGGAGAATTTGTGTCACAGACATTTCTCCCTGATTGGCATGCTGTTTTACATTAGAGTCAGCGCTTTCGTTAGATTCAGTTAGAATTCTCCTAGCTTGTCGGGGATCTCGGCTTTGTCTAGGGTCAGTTGCCTGACTGAATACTTGACTTGAGGATGAAGTCAACTCAGATTGTTCAGGAGCTTGTTTTTCCTGTTGAAATAGCTCATTTTTTGCTATAGTTGTTTTTGGAGGTGGTGACATCAATGCATCAGACACTGAAAAGTGAGCCATTGATACACCAACAGCTGCTCTTTGTTGCCTGAGGGCTTCTTCTTGTTCTTCCAGTTGTCTTTTCTGTTCTTCTATTTGTTTGTTTAATTCTTCTAACATTTTCTGTTGCTCTACCAAAGTTGGTTGTGCAGATGCGTCAGGTGCAAATGGAGCAGGTGTCAGGTTGTTTTTAGATTCTGAATACATTTTATTAGGTAAATCATCAACAGTAACCTTTGCTTCTTCTAAAATAGTTTCATCTTCTGGGTCATAAGCCTCATCTTGCTCTGAAATTTCACACGGTTTTTCAACCCCCGTTTCACTACTATGCATTTCAAAAGCTCTTTCTGGGGCATATTCTTCTTCAGGGTCATAAGGTCTGTCATCTTCCTCCTCTTCTATAGGTTTTTCTTTTGACATCTGTCCAAATTGCTGCACAATGGGATCAAGTAAGGGAACGGGAGGTGGTCCTTCATTCGTAACGGCTTGTCCTTCTGGCTTTGACACATGAGCACCTTCAGAGTCCTTGGAAGCAGGGTCAAATGATTTCTTTTTCCCAAAGAGAGTCTGTAGGATGTGATCAAGTGGTGTGGATGATTTTGTGGAAGAAGGAGTAGTAGTAGATGCCATAGTTGTGCTATTTCCTGACAGTGAAATATTTGTTGGTGCAGCAGCGGTTAGATTTCCTGCTTTAACCGATGACAGTATTTTTAACACAGAAGGTGTTACTGTTGGTGGCTCTGAAGGTGGATTTGGGGGTGGAGGTGGTGGAGATCCAGGTGGTGTTGTGCTGACAGCTACTTCTCCAGAATAGAGAGAAAATTTTGGAGGTTTCTTATCTAGCTGGGAAAGTGGATTGCTTTTAGGGTATCCAGATACTTCAGTTTCTTCCTGCATCTGAACTCTGCTTCTCTTTTCTTCAGTCTTTTCAGATTCTAGTACAGTTGCGGGCCGCTTAGCTTTTTGACAGATCACTAATCCAAGGATTAAGTTTGGACGTGTTGATTCTAGACCTGAAAGGCAAAAGAAAATTCCATGTAAAGAATAAAGTTTTTTAAATTTAAACTTAAACATGTTAGTGTTACTTTTTTAGTATTAAACAGAACTACTAAAATTATCAAGAAATGTTCTATATTTGAACTATAGTTTGTTGTTTTATTATAACCGAACTGCCTGGCTACTAAAAGAATAAAGTATAAATGTAAGCATTCTGGTGTGACTAAAATATTAATGCATCCAATAATAAGCTACATGTATTATATTTCATTTTCAGATTAATTACTAATATTTAGCAAAACAAATCCATGCCATAATTACAGTTCCCAGCTGCCATTAGTGACACCTCCTTGAATATGTTTTATGTTTATACTACATGAACATAGTCGGTAGCTAATTTTCACACCCGTAATTCCAATATGTTTTGATACCAAGATGGGTAGCCTCTATTATAAACCACAAAAAATTGCAAGCATAAGAGTCTGAAGTTCATGGTAGTACCTTAATAATGCACTTTGCTACAAGAGTCGCAACTCATGTGTGTTTTAGTGCATCTTAGTGATGTTATTTGTAGTGTAACAGTGTTATGAGCATTACGTTTTATTTGGTTCAGACCACCAAATCCAGTCATTGTTTAGAGACACACAGACTCCTTTACTCCTAAAATATTTTATGCATTTCAGTTGAATGGAATGGAATGGAGCACACCCAGTAACTCTAACTGAAATCAGCTAGGCATTTACTGCAATCCTACATTCACCTAGGAGTAAAACCCATGGAGCATATAGACATGTGTAGGAGGGCACATGTTAATGTACATCTGGATAATTAATGCTATAGGTGAACCTTTAGTTTTTTTCATAAATTTGTGAATGACTCAGCCCTAGGAAATAACCATATAGATGAGTCAGGGAATCCTTTTCTTGCTCGCAACCCGTTTTGTTGCCTATCTTGCCCTTTAAACCTTCAGCAAATCTGTTCTAAAGTTTAATGTTTAAATCAGTACAGCATATTATGCTTCATACTCTGCTAATGTTATAGTAAAAACAATCCTTTTTTTACTTTCTTGTTTGAATTTTAAATAAATAAGATTAAAATGGAATAAGTACAAAAGTACAATGGAGTCTCATATTTTGAGGATCAAGTAATCTAATTTCAGGATCAAATTTTAAATTTTAACTATTTAACATGAATTTAATTATCATTTGGAGGAGAATCAGGCAAAGTACAATATTCAACTGATCATTATTTCTACATTTGTAAAGGGTCCCACCAATATAATTTTGCCTCCAATAACCATTTGATTACATATTCTGCTGGAAATCATTCTCTCCCCCTTGAATCTGTAATAGTATGTTATTTCCACTGCGTGCAGCAGTACAATGATCTAACCTATAACCTGGCAGTTACTGGGTTGGCTGTCATTTCAACACTGATTTTATTATGATATGGTCACTTATGTTCTAATTCTGTGCATCTTAACTACGCTCGCAACCATTATTTTCATGTTTTAATTCAAAGCCTGGTATTTTTTTTTACTCAAATTGTTCTAAATATATTTGATAGCATATTATAGTGCTTGGTTTCCTTTACAATAAGCATGTTTACATTTTAGTATAACTTCTTAGATACTTAAAATATAGCATGTGTTTAGAGAGCCTGCATTAATAAGGACCTAAACGGATTGCTGAGTTAATGTATCACGGGAATTGGAAAAAATATTTGAAAAGACAACATGTTTTAGAAAATGATCAACACAGGATTTAAGTGTAATTTCCACACAGATGTTCCTATGGACATCTTGTAACTTTTACATTTAAAAAGCTTATGTAGCATTTCAAAAAGCAAATATAGCTGTAATTTGTACCTTTTTGTTATTCTGATAATGCACTGTTGATCTTTCTCCAAGTCATGTCAAGTAATCTGAACATGTGGCAAGTGCATAACTCTGGTAACTGAACAAGAGTAACTCTCCACCCACTTCCCTCACCTTGATTACTTCCCCATCATGGGTTGGTGTCCTGCACAGGTCCTATGACAATGCTGATATTTGATATAGGAAGATTGGAACCAAAAACATGGAATCCTTTTAAAACATGACTAAGTTTTGTTTATTCCACATTATTTTTCTAAACTCAATGTATCCAAATATGAATTAAGGACTTATTTCATAATATTTTGGGAGTCCCTCTCTAAGTAATCAGTATGTAAAATTGTTACTGTCCATGCTAAAAGGCTGGGATGGGACCTGCTGTGGCTTCAGAAAACTCTATGCACAGTCCACGGAGGAACATGCCATTAAATAGCTCTACGATCATAAGCTTTTAAAAAGCTTGTAGTATTTTTTCTCTTGGGTACAAATGTATTCTTTTTAAAAATGGTTGTCATACTTTTTTATGGGTTGAGATGTAAACTAGTCCTATGCATTAAGCAGCCGTAGTTTTACTTCAGTGGCTTTGCCTGTGCTCTCCGCCCATTTAACCTCAGCTGCAGCCACTTCCCTTGTTCACAGCTCATCCCAAGTCAGGTTCTCCTCTCCCTTCAGTGAGCTGCACATTTCAATCAGGATGGGGCATCTTGCTTGCTTTTAAGTTAGGGATTAAACAAATGTGAGTGGACAGCAAGCATGGGGCTGGCTGTAGGGAGGGTGTGGTCCCCAGCAAAAACGGCGCCCCTGCATGACATATAAATGCATTTTAAGTGTAGGTGGTGTATCACATGTTTGGATGTTGCTGCCTTTTCACTGTGTAGATCTTCTTCCAGTTCCCATAATAGCAGAAAGAAAATGATAAAGATGTGGATTATGGAGTAATTTTATAATACAATTGCCTTTGTTATTGGAAGTGTGTGGAAGGTGTGCATGGAAATATTGCAGATATTCAATTTCACTGGTGGATTTAAGAGCATGGTAAGCTTCCTGAAAAGGACAATCATTACCGCTGTTTGAAAGCTCTGCCGTCAAAGCGGTCTGTGGAAAAATAGGGAAAAAACCTGTTCAACAAGTGGCAGAGTAAATGTCTGGAAGTGCTAGAAAGACTTGTGGTGAACCGAAATAAATGACAGGATATATTTGTTATCAACAGTGGTTGGTGGACAACTGTATCCCTGGCGAATCCACACAAGTTTCACCCACTCCTCTCCCTTGCACTGGGGTTGAGGAGGAAACGAGGCCACATCGTTGAAGGAAGTGCTCAGCAGTGACAATCACACGCATGGGAGTGATGACAGAGTAGCTACAATAATGAATTTCTGAAGGAATATAAGATGTATCACTGCAGAATTCCTTAGTGAAGCTAAAACGATTATACTGCTCTGCCCCCCCACCCACATTTCTCTTTGCCAATTCAGAAGAGAAATGAAATGATGCACCTCTAATCAAAAACTGAGTAAATAACCACAATTTTCAGCTTCCAAGGTTTAGCTAAATTAAAATGTCTCAATCCCATAACAAATTATTTTTCCTTTCACGATTTTGAGATCAGATGACATGAATTCTTGTAGAAAGGTCTGATATGTGGCAGAATCATCTAATGGTCCAGCAATCCAGAGGATGTATTCCAGTTTTATTTATGATCAACACTGGGTATGCCTCAACCACTTTGCCCATAACCCTCTCGTAAAATGACCCTGATTTACTTTCTTGTTTGTCTAGGGCTGCAAACCTACATGCACTTACCTGGAGAAAACAGAACTCAATGGGGCTTACTTCAGAGGACTCAGAATTACGCTGTTAAGTGCTATGTAGTCTCCATCTCAAATGTATTCTAGCAAGTGCTACTTAGCATTTCAGACATACTAACAGTTTTTATATATTGGTTGGTTGGTTGAAGATATTTTGATTTAGAATGTAAGTAAAGCAATCTACTGAAATGCAGAATGAACCCTGTGAGACAGGATATATACACATGCTTCAACCATGCTTGTAAAATAGTACCCTACTTAGAGTCACTATTTAAACTGAGAGACATGCTTCACAAGCTAGAAAATGTAGAATTATTAAACTTAAAAACACATTTAAATTGAAAGAGACCATGGCCACTTTGCATAAAATTTTTTATTGAGATGGTGTAATGAAAGCAATACATTTCATTTGGCATACTTGAAAAAGTGAGGACTTCATATTTTATACCTTTCTCCATACATTTCTGCATACACCAAAGAACCAGGCTAACTCCTTCACTGAAAAGATACTAATGGCCTTACTATATGGGTGATTAAAAATGATTAAAACATAAGAATAATTTAGTATTTTTCTCTGAGGAGGAGTGGATTCAGAAGCCTAAACACATAGACTTTGGCAAATTCTGTCAATCTGCCATGCCTGGCACTTTTTTTGATATGAACAAAGTTCAGGGTTTTTGCTACTGTAGTGTTCAATGTTCTGGGTGGAATCCAGTGTTGTATGACACGGACTTTCTCCTATAACCACAGCAGCCCTTCCAAATATGCTCTAGGAAACCTTGCAATACTATAGAGTTCTGGAGTGTGTGCACAGGGATGCAGGGATATGGAGTTCTGTTGACAGACACACATCCAGAAAGTGACTCGATGACCTCATGTATTATCTGGAGGGTCCTAGGATGGGTTCCTAGCTCCAAGGTCACAGCACTCTGGCCTCAGAGGCAGGACCTGGAACCCCAGGCACCTTCCTCTCTGCATCCAGCATCCTGCTTTCCAAGGTTGGAAAGGCTGCTTCCAACAGGCTGCTTCCCAAAGTTGGAAAGGCAACCTCCGGGAACGGAAGGGGTGTTTGGGGTACAGGAAAGGAAGGTGACTGGAACAGCCAGCATATGAGTGGTCCCCAAGCCGCTCCAGCCTCCATCCTTCCCACTCTTAAAATGGCCACGTAACACAAATGCAGAATGGAAGGAGGTGTCTCGGCTGCTTCTTCCACTCTCCACTGAATGGGAACGAGCCTTTGAGTTTGGAGACTCCCACTCATCTGCACAGGATTGTGCCCTTAACTGGATGTCTCCCAGTTTATGGGAGCAAAACCAGAAACTAAAATGGCCAATGCCTTTTCGTGAAGCCAGTCATTTTAGTAAGTGCCACACTTCCCCTTCAAAAGAACTTTTCACTAAATAGCAGACATGAAAGATACTACTCTCTCTCCTCTACCAGGTGGCTGGTACTGCTTTTAGTTTCCAGGACACTGTAACTATGGTTTGCATTTCTGCAAACTGTAAAATCCCTCTTCCTAAAATATCCCCCTTTATATAACTAGAACCAATCCAAGCATCGGGGACGCAATTCGACGTGCAGGCACTTGGGAACATGTCCCACGGACCTCAGCTGGCTCACTTCTAAGTGGCCGTGCACAGCACTGTGTTTCAGGAGGGTCCTTCACACACTCGCGTGGGGCTTCCACCTCAAGACACGTCACGGTTTGGCTGCTGCTCTGGCATGCCCGCCTCCCTGCACACCAGGTAGGTATCAGTGCTCTCGCACGGGATGTGTAGAGTCAGGCGGACCATCCCGTGGGATCACTTTCAACCAAACCTTGTATGCCTTCTGAGCCAGCACAGCGCCATGAGAAGCCTGCACTGTGACACCCTCCCCATAACAGCACTTTTGATTTTTCACTACCTTAGAATGTGCCTTCAGGAGACTGGCTTCCAAACTGTATTCCACGGATGCCAGGGCTTTTTAAGAAATCGATTGAACAATCCTCACAATATTTGTAATGGCAAGTCAGCGTTCTTGAAAGACAGTTTGCTCTGACTACTGAAATGTCTTCCTTTTCAGTGAAGTACATGGTGCCGTTCAATGTGATGCCTCTTTGAAGATGTTGCCTCAGTGCGCATAGGCTATTTTTTACATGTATCCCCTCAGGACAGGAGCAGTGGGTGTTGACAAAAGGTGGCTGGGCCACCCCCTCCTCTCTTTTCCTGCCACCCTATTGTCTTTCTCGCTGGCTTCCAACCAATGTGATGCCAGTTGCTCTCAGACTGCTCATCCCTACCTTAGACAACCTCCCGCAACATCATACTTTCCAGGTGTTTTGGATTACAATGCCCAGGGTCCCTGACCACTCGCCATCCCAGTGGAGCTCATCTGAAATATGTGGAAATCACTAGTTTAGGAAGAGCCTTATACTAAAGGCCAGGGCGCTCTGTAATACAAGTGCTTCATTTTGTGACAGAAGCAGCTAAAACACAGTTTCCGTAAAAGAGTAAAAGTCTCCTTATTTTCTTTTACTCTTCCACCCAACTGAAGATTCTCTGGGGATAAGCTTTTCTCTATTCGTCTAACAAATTTGTTGCAGTTGTTCTGGCTGCCCAACAACAGACTTTTAAAGGCATATATGCAGCATATCTGAAGGTCCTGCCTTCAAGGCAGCAGCATGCAGATCAGTACGACCACTTGAAGAACCATGCATAAGCTCAACAATATAGACTTTAAATTGTTACTTTATCTCCATTGTGCACATCACTGTGTGCAGCACTTGCTTCACTGAGAGCCATTTCAAGGTAGGAAAACGTCCTCAGGGCATCAGCACAAACCTCGTCATCTTTTTCTGACTCTTTGTGATTTATTGTTAGAGTAGCTGATTAAGCTGATGTCATGTTTTGTGCAGGAGAGCTTAGTGTGTGTCGGATTTTGAGTTATAGAAGTCTGGTCTCCCCTGCTCCTCCCTCACTTCTCTGGGAGATGTCCATGCCCAGACTTGATGGTCTTATGGATTTTTAATGTGAGAGATCAAGTATATATTGAATATAGTTGTAGAACTTACCTTTCAACAGAAATGACACTTTGTGAGTCTTCTTGTTTGCCACTATTTGAAGATGATGCCCATTTGTGCTATGGAGCATGTTACGTTGTATAAAATACCTTGAAATAAGACTATCTCACCTAAGACTTTTTAAATGAAGAAAAATATTTGCAGGCCTATGAAATAAAAGACCTCATTTATATTGTCTATGATAGATTGTAGTCACACCATACATGAGCTCTGGGGAGAGAGATGAAATTCTTGCAAACGGTGTTGCTTGGGTATTGTGCCTTACTCTTCCACATTTATTTAGCTGAAGCATGTGCTATGCACGATACCTAGTGTACCAGCCTGTAACTAAGGAAGACTGGAGACATTTTGGGTTTCCTACAGTTCGGTGCTTACCTGGTCCCTCAAAGGGCAAAAGTTTGGATGGAATAGGATCCTTAGCACTGAGAGGTATCAAATAGAGGTCCTTGACATGTCTGTTGTTATTAGCTACAACACCAAATCGGCCACGACTGCTAAAATAGGAGTAGAGAGAAATATAGGCAACCTCCTCCTCTTCTGTTGCAGGATGGAAACGGATCAAACAAAGTTCCTACAATACAAGAATATCAAGGTAATGCATTGGCTTATTGGTAATAAAAGAGCAAGTAAGGGCAACATGGCATTAATCAGCACATTTCAGGAAAAAGTAATTCCAGAATTATGGTGGCAGTCTCAAAGGTTGTATGCATGTTGAAATATATTTCAGGAAGATCCATTACTTTAACATAATTTTACTTCACAACCAGTCAAGTGTTTAAAAAACAACAGCAACAACATAACTTCAGAACTTCATCTACAATAAAAGAGCCAATGGCAGCAATACTGTGATGATCACTTTGAAATCATTGAGAATTCACACCGTGCTGGAAACTGCAAAGCCACCAGCAGAGGCCGACAGGGTCACATGAAAGCGGGATGAACAGGGTTGTGGATAGAACGACCAGCAGGGCAAGCACCGAGGGACCTTTTGCTGGACATGGGGTGCAGCCTGACGCGTGTTCAGCCAGAATAAGGTCCTGCAACTGCCAACAGACCAGAGAAGGCAAGGAATTCTAGGACTTTGTCAAAACGTGCAGGAGGTCACACCCTCGGATATTTCTATATGCAACAATTATTGACTGGTATTCAAAGAGCCACTGAAGCAGCAGGGAACGCTGTAGTAATTTTAACTTTTTACTGAAGAGAATGGATTTTATACCATATTTCAAAATGCTTTTCAAGTCTCTGTTTTAAGGGATATTAAGTGCAAAGTGTTAGGAATTGCTGGACAGGCAATTCAATCCCAGTCTTGCCCCCATCTCTTAGGCAAAAGAACTAGCTGTATGGTTCACCAGATCTTATCCATTATTATTATTTCATATAGAGTGCAAAATCCTTCATCATTATCAGATTTGAGATTAAATGAATACCTTTGAAACAGAAGATTTAAGTTTGCCAATATAATCCCACACTGTCTTCGGTGAGATTCTTCCTCCAATATGAATTGTATCTGGTAAATCCTAAATAAGAAGCATTACATGATGTGAGAAATGAGCATAATGCAATGCCAAAGTATAGTATAGTATAACGCAAAAAAGAGGCTAGAGCCAGGGGTGTTCATAATTAGGTTCACCTCTACTTTCACATCTCAGTACTGTGCAGAAAACATTCCTTAGCTGATTCCACAAGCCACAGATACTCAAACTTTCAGGCAATAAAGGGTATCAAAAGGCCCTTTTCGTATGGCTCACACCCTCTTTTAGTAGCTTGTAATGCATGCCTGGCTAAGTTCTTTTTGTGTCTTGGAGAAGAAACACAGGCTTCAAGTAAACAAATTTCATCTTAGCAAAAACAACATTGTGACAAAAAAGATCACCTTTAATTATGCAATTATTTCTGAAGTTGCAATAAAATAGTCCTAGTTTGCTTCCATATACATTTATGTAAAGAAAGGGAAGAATCCTTTGGCCCCTAGACTTTATCTGAGTTAGTTGTTATGCGCTACCAAGTTGTCTCCAACCTAAGGCAACCCTAAGTACAAAAGATCTCCAAAATGCCCTATCTATGATAGCCTTCAGCTCTTGTACATTCAAGGCAGTGGCTTCTTTTATCCAAGAAATACATATCACCTTTGGCCTTCCTTTTCTTCTGCCTTTGACCTTTCCGCATGAGCATGATGGTCTTTCTTTGCCAGGGAGTCTTGCCTTCTCTTGTTATGCCCAAAGTACGACAGCCTCATTTTTTTTTGACAGCCTCATTTTTTTTCGAAGGAAAGCTCTGGCCTCGTTTGATCTAGGACCCCCTCGTTTGTCATTCTGCCCGTCCAGGTATTTGCAAAGCTCTCCTCCCACACCATGTCTCAAACACATCCATTTTCTTCCTGCCTGCTTTCTTCACGGTCCAGTTTTCAAGTCTGGATGATCCTGACCTTCGTCTCCAGTGAAAGGACCTTACAGTTGATGATCTCTTCTAGTTCCTTCAATGCTTCCTTTGCCAGTGTTAGTCTTCTTCAAACTTCTTGACAGCATTCTAATTCCCCACTCCACCCTTCTTCGAGTGCCTGAATGTCAAGCTTGTTGTACGTCTTTTGTAAATATATATGTTAGCTGGATTGTCTCTGTAGAGCTAGTACAACCCTCCATATAATGTTGGAGATTCCAAAGCAGTGAATGTAGGGAATTCTAGGACTTAGATCTCACCCTTGGATATTTCTATATGCAATAATTATTGGTAGTTATTCAAAGAGCCACCGAAGCAGCAGGGAACGCTGTAGTAATTTTAACTTTTTACTGAAGAGAATGGATTTGTATACCATATTTCAAAAGGCTTTTAAAGTCTCCATTTTAAGGGATAGTAAGCGCATGTTGTCTGCCTTCCAACCTAAGAGTCCCATCTTCTGGCACTGTCTTTTTTCATTTTCATTCTCTGCATTGCCTTTTGACATTTTCCCCTAATCATGTCTCTGGTTTCAGTCCGAAGTTCTTCTGGTTCACAAATTAAGCTGAGTAATGCAAATCTGTTCTTTACATATACTTTCAATTCCCTGGGGATGCTGTCTTTTTTCTTTCTTGTATTTTGGCACTATATTTCTATTAGTGATCTTTTTCTGGCATCACTCTGATTTTCAGTATTAAGAGTTCATGGTCCTATCACAATCTGCTCCTGCTCTTGTTTTGAGGACAATTCTGCAGCTTCTCCATCTCCTGCCTCCGATTGCATAGTTTACGTGATTTCTGTGATCACCATCTGGTGATGTCCATGTATTCAGTTGCCTGGTTTGTTGCTTGAAGTATGGGTTTGCAACAAACAGGTTTCTGACATCACAAAATTTTATGAGTCGTTCCTCTGCTGCTTTGTCTCTTATCACTTTTGATTCTGCTTTGTCTCCTAATTTTCATCCTAGCCACTTAGGATTATCAGCGTCTCTTGTTCTGGTGTATTATCAATTTCTTCTTGAACACCTATATCAAAATTTTTGATTTCTTCTTCAGCATCTGTTGTTGGCACATAGATCTGAATGATGGTTATCTTGATAGGTTTTCTGAGAATGATTGATATGATTCAGTCAGATTTTGCACAATAGCTTCTTACTGCCTATACTGCTGCAGTATGAGAGAGACTCCGTTTCTTCTGAGTTCTTTTATCTCCTAAGTAAAATACTTTGTGATTGCCCAGTTGATAATGACCCAGTCCAGTCCACTTTAGTTTGCTCACACCAAATGCTGTGATGTTTAGCCACTCCATTTCCTTCAATATGGTTTCCAGTTTGCCATGATTCATATTTCTCATGTCCCGACTGTATGTGTTCTGTAGCGCTGAACTTTCCTTTCACCTCTGTGCATGTCCGCCATTAGACTTCCTTTCTGCTTTGATCTAGTGGTGTCATTAGCAGGTTGTGTGCCTTCCAACCTGGGGTCCCATTGCCTGGCATTATCTCTTTTTTCAGTTTGGATGCTTTCATCATAGAGTTTCCAAGGTAAGAAAAATCAGAAGACGATTACCATTTCCTTCTTCTGTGCAGTTCCGAGCAGAGTTAGCTTGGGCGCCACTGCTGTTGTTTGTGAAAGATGCTCTGCCAGTGTTACCTTCAACTGCTGCTACCCAGTATCTGCCCTTCAATAATTTATCCACCCACCACCATTAGAAATATCCATTCTCTGTTACTGTTCCTCCTGCAGAGGGTGGATATACCTTAGTTGGGCATCTCTGCATTGACCATTCCACCTTGGGTGACTCTCCTAGGAGACCAGCCCAGTGAGACAGTCTGGCCCTGCTCTCAGCTTCCCTGACAGTCTCAAGCCCCGCCCCCCCCACCATGTTAAGGCGTGGCAACCCAAGAGGGGGCTTGGTATGTATGCCAGATCTAAAACAAATAGCTGGGAAAATGTTACAGGAATACAGATGCAATCCTATTTATTTTCATGAAGCACCATTCCTCTCAAAATTCAACAAAAGAATTTTCACATAATCAAGTGTATGGTCCACTGAACCCACCTATTTTCTAAATTAGACCAAAAGTATTATTCCCTTATCCAAAGGTAAATTTTGGGATCTCTATAATTATGTTTCAAAATATATAAAGATATATTTTTAACATTCCCTGGGAATCAACTGACAAAAAATAGGGTGCAATATGCCGTGTGTGGTATCAAACACAATAAAGTGTTTGTGGAAGCACCAGAAAAGCTTTTCGTCAAAGCAGGTCTTTTTCTTACCATCTCAAGCACACCCCCCAAAATTGGAACAAAGTCAAACAGTGAAGTCCCCACCCACAAAAGTGAGTTTTCCCTTGGGCTGGTTTTGTTCATTTCTGAAAAACTGAACAGCTTCAGATCACTAAATATTCTCCTTTAGAATGATGAAAAAATGTTTCACACAAATTATATATTGCTACTGAACTTTTACTCCCCCTCCAAGGATTCCTTAAAAATATTCAATAAAACTATTAAACTATAACATTTCTGGAAATACTGAAGGCATGGGTGGTAATGCTTTTTTAACTTTCCCCACAATATTACCCAAATATTATTATATTTCTTCCATTCCATATTAAAATTATGGATCTAATAATAATAATAATTTTACTGATATTTAGGAATGCTCCAAGCCATGCTCAGTTTTGCAATGTATGAGTAGAGCCACAATACCATAATATGGAAGAAAAGCACATTCTTGACAGTTAGGGTTTTGCTCTATAGACTCAGACGAAAATGAATTATAAAAACCTCAAATGTGTCATTTGTTTAGCTCTCAGGCTAATGTGTATACTTATAATTATGTGATTTAAAATAGCCTTAATAAGAAACACATCTTACTATAGTTCATACACAATGCAAAGCACTTCAAAATCCCACCTCACTGAGATAATCAAAGGACCCAGAAACAGCATATGCTTTGGTAACAAACTTTGCCACGCCTTGCATGTTGATGAAACCTTTCCAAATCGTGCTGAGGCGAGAAAGAAAGAAGGAAGTATCTCCTTCTTGAGGGGACCGTATCTCTGACATACTGCAACACAGAAAACCAAGAGAGAAAAACAGGGTCAGGTGAGCCATCTCTACTCTCTGTCCTGGGAATGTTCAATTACATTTTTAAAATTACAGATCCAGTGCTGCTAGATAATACATATTTTTAGCCAGTTAATAGATTAGAACTGTAATGGGAGACTCCCTCAATGCAAGACTGTGATCACAACCTATGTGCAATTCATTAGCTGACCCAAATTTATAATTGAGCTTCCTTTTAAGATTTGTTCAAGATCTGGATGCTTCTCTCTCACAAAAAGAAGAGTATGTCAGGCAGGAAGAGAGAAAGAATATATGATCTTGCTTTGGGTGCCAAAAATGTGCATCTGTGCCCTCCGCTGTCCCATATTCAACTGGAGTTCATCTTAGATGTGAACAGGGTCACAGCAGAAAGAACTATGATTTGATTTTTTGGGTTTAATTATTTTAAAATTAAATTTATTAAGAATAAATCTTATTTGAATGTTAATTTTCACTTTAAGCAGTATCTGAAAATAACACAGTCAAAATCATGTTTTCCTTATACAAAGCTGTGGTGTGAGCACATATAGTCCTGGGTCACAGCCATGATAAAAGGATATTGCAGAGCTGGAGCAACTTCTGTGCAGATAAAGGCTACAACAGCTGGTTTTGTTTGGCTTAGGTGAGTAAGGGGAGACATGATGGAGATGCCTGGAATCCTGCACGGTTTGGAGGGGAGACATTTTTCTTAATTCTCATCATACTTGAACCAAGGGTCTTCCCAAAAAGCTGAGATAAAAGCAACTATGTGATTCTTGTAGCACATAGTTAAACTATGGCATTCTCTGCCACACACAGCAGAGAGAGGCATCGATTCTGATGGCTTTAAAGGGGCCTGAAGAAACTTAATAAATAAATGAATGAACTCTCTGCAGGTAAAACTATCCGTGGCTGTTAGTCCTGATGGGCAAATGCTTCCTCCAGTATCAGACACAGTCTGCATATGCGTGCCAGCTGCGAAGCAACAAGGACAGATGGGAGAGTGCTTTTGCACTCCCGTTTGGCTTGAGCGGGCAGCTGGTCGGCCTGTGTGTGAAAAGGACGCTAGAGCAGGTGACTCCTGGTCTGATCCAGCAAGGCCCTTCGTATGCACTTAAACAAGAGAAGCCACGCTCTGCACTAGATGAGCTTACAGGCTGATCGCCTCTGGACATACATACCCAACATTTAGTGACGGTGAAACTGCCATATATCTTGAGTCTGATGAGGATGATGGCTTGGTTAATATTGATTTCGGAGCAGGTAAAACAGACCGTGACATTTCTGGCTTGCTTTCCACCACAGTCACTTTGTCAGGTGTGGGGATGGGATGCGATACTGAAGTCCCCACGGCTGCAGAGGCCGGCACGGTGCTCATGGCTGTTCTTGGATCCTTGCCGGAGACAGTCACGGTAGTGATAACTCCACCAGCATAGGATGTGGGATAGAGAGCGCTCTCATTAGGCAGAGACAATTCTGGATTAGTTTGCCCTTGTGTTAAAGGAATGTAAGTCCTTTCCAAGCTTGGCTGAGGAAGTGCTTCTGTTGCACATTCAGCAACAGGCTCTGGGACATTCTTTGGGTCTTCTTTTGCAGCCTCCACCTCATCTGCTGGTGCTGAGCTTTCAAATTTTGACTTTGTTTCTGGTTTTGGTTCTGCCTTTTTAACAGACATTTTTGGTTTCTTTGAAGCTACTTCATCATCTGAAGCGGAAAGCTGACCTATAGAAAAGACAGAATCAGTATGCATCACTCTGCATCTGTGTGTTTTGATAGACGAAGTGCTGTGCTTGAATCTTGGACCCCAGAAAGACCACTGTCTTTAACATCAGAATTACAGTAACAGGGCCTTTTCCATGGCAGCACCCACCCACTGAATTTCCTCCCAAGGGAGGGTAAGACTTAACTCTGTTTTAACACGTTGTTAATTCTGTTACTGCTTGTTTTGTGTTATTTTATTTTGTACACCATCTTATCTTACAGGTCTTTTTTCAAGTTGAAAGGCAGCAGAGACATTCCTGTATAAAAATTAACACTGCATCTTACAGTGTTACTGTAACACAGTGTTATAGTAACAGTGTGACAAAAGCAAGGCAGAACCTCTTGGAAAATTTTATATAAATTATAATTAAGGGAAAAAAACCACAATAATGTAGCACAGGGCATTTTCAGAAAGGGAGTTTTTGCAGTAAAACAATTCACTTTTATAGATTCAATCAACCAACGAAATTACCAGATTTGTTGAAGAATATTCATTTTGAAAGGTGAGAATAGCGCTATGAATGCAGTGAGATCTGAAAACATACCTGGCCAGTGAATGGTTTTGAATTAGCCATTTTCACATCATGACCAGATCTGGGTGTACAATACAAGCAAAACTGAGCATGCACCCCACTGTTTAGGGTTGGGTATTCAAACAGTGTTACCATTCCATGTACCTGTACAGATTTTGCAGTTCAGATCAAAAAGATGAGCTCTGTGCTGACTTGTTGTGTCCTGCAACATGCTGCTGAAAACATCCAGAACAGGAGCAGTGCTTTTCTCAGGGGCTGCTCTATCCGAATCCTGCTGCTCCTAATACAAAATGACACGACTTTGTGGTTTTTCGTTCGTTTCAACGAGATGTTCAAGCAACAGAATCAGTAAGCTTGCACCAATTAAACAGAAAACACCTATTGCCATTCTGTTCTGTTTAAGCTTTTGTTGTTGCTAAAATCTGGGCATAACCTGCTTTGTAAAAATATAACTATAGAAAGGATCACCTTGTATGAATTCCCCACTGGAACTCTGGGATGAAGGGAGAAAGAGCTGAATGGGAACATGGGAAGTATACCAGGTAAATTGATTAATATCAACACCTACATCGATCATTAGACCTTTTGTTAGGTAAACATGCCCAAAACAAAATTCCAGCTAATAGCGAATGGGTTAATCTGTACTAGCATGTTTAACTTGTCCGATATGCACTTCCTTTTTAAACAATTTGTTTTCTTCTTTAGATATTAGAGTATTTTTTCAGAAATTTAAAACAAGCCCATTTTATAATATAAGGTATATTTTCCTAGAGCTAGCTTTAGGAGAATGATGTTTAGCTGTAACCAACAACTAAAATGATTTCTACTTACATCAGAATCAGACACTGGTGGGGAATCTTCCATGTTAACATCTGGAATGGGTTCCTGTTTGACAGCAAGCTTCTTGTTTTCAAATGTTTTGCGTCTGGATGCCATCATCTGTGAAATTCATACCATTATTTACCCACAAACACAAAATTGGTGCGTTTTTAATCACTAATCTGAAGCTATTTATTGGCTGTAGTTACTGCTATGTAAAAAGGCAAGCAATTCAAACAATTCAATGACCTACAAAGATTAATAGTCACATTTTTGTACAATTCTGTGAACCACTCAGAGCGCTTCAGCTTTTGGACAGTATAGAAATATAATGAATGGTGGGGATGATTAATTTCTATACACTGATCAAGCAACAAGACAACCTCATCCAAAATGACCCCACAGAACTGCATGACTTACTGATTTGGCTGGCTTCTCTTTCCACAGAGCTAGCTCTTTCGATAAAAGTTCTTCCGGCTTCATTCTTACTAACTTTGACAAAGGAAGGTCTTCTCGAAGAACGCGATGGAAAAGCCCCTGGAAGGTAAAGATTATCAGGGTAACACTGTGACTACTACGAGGTTGAAAGTTGTTCTTGAACTATTTCTTGACCTTGTGTATAGTGAAGAAACTAGAACAGACACAGGTGCTGTGGTGCATTACAAATGTATGCTCCCTAACCATCCTAGCTGGGGCTTATGGGAGTTGTGGTAAAAAATGTGGAAGGCACTTGGTTGCCTGTATCTGTAATGGGCAAAAACATGTGGACTTTGCCCGTAGCTCCTAGCTCTTCCCCCCACCTCGCAAGTCTTGCTCCAGGGGTTTGGGGGGTCCCTTTGGAACAGTGTGGGAGGTGGTATGGCATGAGTCCACAACCCGCGGCCCGTGGGATGGATCCGGCCTGCCATGGCCATCCATCCAGCCCGCGCCGCCGTTTGCCGCCCATGTGCGTGCTTGCTGGGTGGGCGGGGAGGTGGTGGCTTGCTCGCTTGGAGATGGTCTCCGAGAGAGCGAGCCGCCACCCGCCTCCCGTATGCATGCGCTTGGAGATGGTTCCCAAGGGAGCAAGTCGCCGCCAGTGTCTGCCTCCCGTATGCGGGCGCTCGCCGCTGCCTTGCTCCCTCAGAGATGGTTTTGGACTTGCTGGGAGATCTCCGAGTGAGCGAGCACTGCCACACGTGCCTGACGGCACCTCACCAGCCCGCGACCCCAGGCACCCCCACCTCACCGGCCTGCGACCATCACCGCAGCCTTTCAACTGACCCCCTATTCAAAAAGTTTGAGGACCCCTGGGGTATGGTGGCAGTTTCACATAAAGTCCAATATAGCCATCATAACTGATAGCTACTGACAGCCATATCCTCTCCCTTTAAAACAATTTGCGGAAGTGTGGCGGCGGTGGAAATGTCGGCCTACAGCAGGAGATTTTTTCAGAATCAGCCATGCGTTCTGAGATCTACTTTGGTTGTCTGGAATTTAATGTCAATACCAATTTCACTGGATGACTAAGAGATTCTATTATTGACAGGAAAAACACCCTTCTATCCATAAACCTACCATGCTCTTTATTGGGCAGTTTTTGCTGAACTAAAACGTTCCAAGCTTTTCAGTCTTCTTGAGCAATATACAGTGGACTATTCTAATACAAATCAAAATCCGCTTGCAGTTACATAAAAATAGATGGATAGCACATTGTTTGCTTACTTTCATACAAACAAACCTGATTTTTGGGGTCCTTGAGGTTGAACATAATACTGCGATATTTACTCTTATATCGATTATCTGTCGCTTGGAATAAATTAAACATCTCCTTTTCAATATTCAGTGCAATCTTTCCTACTTCACTTTCTGTCATGACCAGGTCATCGCTGTCATTTACTCTGCCAAAAGGAGGGAAAATTATTGCTCAGGTGGGAGTAATAATAAATAACCAGACAGTAACCCTGACCCATATACCTGGAAGCAGGCCTATTGAATTCAGTGGGTTTTACTCTGCTGCTGAACCAAAACACAGCAAAACAATGTGGCATTTTCTGAAAATGGGTGTCTATTGCACACAAGAAAGAACTTTCCATCTCCGGTTTTTATTACTGTCCAGCATTACTGCTTTGGGACAGTTGGAATGACTGAAACTGAAAATAATGTAAGCAGAGGGCTGTAGTTCAACGACAGACCACTGGTTCTGCATGCAGAAGGTCCTGGAGTTCAAACTCTGGTAAAGTTTGTGCTGGAGAGCTGCTGCCACCTAGCCTTCGAAATACTGGGCTGTATATCACAGGGTTTTGTGTTCCCAGCGAACCCGTCTTCTACTTGAGGTGCTGACGGTGATTTGCTTCACATGGTGATGGATGTTGTCAGCACAAGTGGTGCCAACAGGAATGCACATGCCTAGCTTTATATTGCAAAGATGATGTGGTGTAAAAAAGTTTTGAGGAAGAAATTAAAAATGCCCTTTAAGCCATTGACATAAATGTATCAAATATTTGCTTCCCAGTAAAAATATTCACCAATTTAAAGATTAAACTTATTACCTATACTTTATCTGAAAAATGGTGAATGTTAATGAGTGTGTACTATTCATGTGGCAACATTTTAACTATCCTGAAATTTTGCTCTCGTTTTTATTGTGGGTATGATGGTTGGTTGTTTCTATTTTAAATGTTGTAAACCAGGGAGCAGATAGCCGTATAGAAATGTTTTAAATAAGTATGGATGCGGAGCTTAGTACCTTACCTTTTCCACAAAATCTCTTTAAGGGATCTCCGTATATTTTGACGAATTTGGGAGTTAGGTTGTGATTGACTGGCACTTGCAGCTAATTTTACTGCTGAAGCTGAGGAAGTTGTTGAAGCAGAAGACACTATGGGCTTCCGAAGTCCTCCAGCCATGCTAGAAGAGGCACCTGTCTTTTTAGAAACTGAGGATGTAGCATAAGACAGAGGTGAAGGCTTTGATGTTGACACAGTACTTGATGAAGGTTGACCTGTGGAAACTGAGGATTTCTTAGGGATTACTCCTTTGAAACCTGCAGCAGAGTGCTTAATTGGGTGCTTAGCCAGTGAACTACCAGTAAATGCAGCAGTTTTCTTTTGAGGCAGATTTCTAGTTTGTAAAGACAGGGGTTTCTCAGTGGCAGAAGTGGACACAATAATTTTCTTTGAAGATTCTGCTGGTTTATCATCATTCCTCCGATCTTCTTTTTGTGCTGTTAAAAGAACAAAGTATAACAAAATGTTGTATCAAATCCTATTTGGTGAAAATTAACTAATATTTAACAGCAACTGATATGAACCAGTAAAAGTTGGGCATGATTTAGACCCAGTGAAGGGAGAGATTTAAATATATGTTTAACTCACAATAAAATCATTTAAAGTTGTTCAGCTTTGCCTGAATTGTACCCTGTAACATTTGTTACATTTTGTATGTTATTAAAAAGGCAGTAAATAATAAATATTATTATTGGGCACAGCACAAAGCAGTGTTTCTGAAGCTGTATTAGTTGCACTGGCTTCATGAAAAGGTGGTATTATGAATGACCCATCTGCAAGCCATAGAGAAGGTCAGCTGGAGAAGGATCTGTGCAGCATAAATATAGCTCTTGTTCCTCCAATGTCATGTGATTTTGAGTGCATCTATTACTGGAAGGAGGAGGAAAACATGGTTTCCTCTTCTTTGGGGCAGGGGGGTTGCTCCCATGTTTAGTAACGAGAATTGTATGGCAAGGACAGAAAACAAATGTAAGCAAGAACAAAACTGATCATATGTATGTGTGCAATTTTCCACAATTCAAAATAAAAATAGATCCATCTTCAAAGATTGTACACGTGGGTTAACATTACAGTGATATACACCAAACATAAGAGAGACCATTACTAACATTCATTCTACAGAGCTTTCTTTTCAGTTTCCTTCCCAAGGAATTACAAGCATGTTTTAAAGTAACCCATGATCTTATTCTGTTCTCAGTTATACAAGCTGTTTTTGAGCAGAAAAGGGAGAAGAGAAACACTTTCTGAATTATTTAAACCAGCTTTTCCCAGCCTGGTGCTCTCCAATTATTTGGGCCCACAACTCCAGTATTACTCACCAGTGGCTTTGCTGGCAAGAGACGAAGCCCAAAACGTTGGATGGCACCAGCTTGATCTAAGCAACCCCGTATTGTATTTGCATCAAATATGACAAATAATCAGTGTTCCCTAATGACCATACACAGATGAAGTTAATTATCTCAAAAGGAAATATGTTAGAATAGTGCCAGGATGAACAACAGTGGCTTTATAAATCAAGTCCTTCATGAAATATTGTATCTCTCAGTGAGGGTAAGTTCACCAGCAGCACTCCAGAATTCTGCCTGTAACCAAGTGAAAAGCTTCACCATACCATCCACTTTCATTGCTACCTGCAAAAATGCTGACAGGCCACAACATCTCAACAGGTTCACACCAGATGCTCATGCAGGAAGACACTTGCAGGACTGTAACATGTTACGATCAATACAACTATTCCCTGCAAATACAGCCCTCTCTCCAGCAGGAAACCTGGAATCATGAAGTTGCCAGGTTTAGTTTCTGCTTAAAGAGAAATTAAGGTGCCAAGTGAAGAGGCACACATGTACAATAGCCCAAGTTCAGCAGAATTCTTTTAAAAAAATACTATTAAATGGCTCAGTAAGGCTGGGACAACAGCCAAAAAGAGAAACACTAGAAAGCACCTAACTTGACAGTAACTCAAAAGGTTTGTGACTCCAGAGGTACGGTGCTGGAAACAGGAGCCAAATAAAAACAGACTGAAGAGCACACTGTGAACTGTTTCTCCTCTTGGGACACTTTCCAGTAACAATTTGCCACTCCTGAAAATGTGGACCGCCATTTTGATAGTCATAAATGTGACATGTATTCAAATATGATTCTTCAAGTATCACTGGGTGAGAGATTGACTCATTAGAAATTTTGTGTTCACATACAGCATGACGTCTTTCTCCTCTCAAACTCAAGTTCGGATGATCCTTCTGCTATCCTTACAGGTTCCGCTTGTGCAAAAAGCAAGGTGTCACTATCTTGAATAAGCAATCTCATGTGAGAGAGTTCCTGCCACGAGGCTGAATGCCCGCACTATCCCTGGAGCGGTTCTGAAAACAGTATTGCAGGCCCTGACGTCACCTACAACAATGCAGATTCATTCACTTGCTCACCTTCCACTGGGATGTCTGCCATCTCCTGTTGGCAATGCCTGTCCATATTCTACCCAGCACAAGTGGCCAGTCTCCGTTGAAGAGAACAAATGGACACAAATCTGACATCGGAAAGGACAATGTTCACAAACCAGTGAGGGAAACACTTCAGCTTTCCAGGGCACGTTGTCACTGATCTTAAAATGGCCATTGTAAGCCAAAAATCCATACAAGGCGATTAATTAGAATTAATCAACACATCGAATTTGATCAGCAGAGGCTTGTTTCAGGGAAAAACCCCAGTCATTTAAACCACAGTGCAAGTGCTGATAGGCTTAACTAGTTCCAGGACACTTGTGCTATTAGCAAAAACTGCACTGTGAATGATCATTAATAATGTTGACATTTACCAATGCATTTCATTCTAACTGCATTGCTTCGCTCCAACTTGCAGATTATATATAAATCTCAGATTATCTACGATGCAGTCTGCAGCCAAGTTAAATGGGCAGCTGCAGAGCACAAAGGCTTATCCGGAATGCATGTGCCAATCTTTATGGTGCTGCTGCTGCTTTGTCCGCTTGCTTTTTGATGCCACAGACTATCATAGGTACCCTCCGGACCATGTGAGACACTGCAAAGAACACGCTGCATGCTGCACACATTGGTATTAGCCATACTCAGCAGAATCTGTGTCAAGTTCACTAAATCCAGTTGGTGTATCTGCAACTTAGAGATATTTGTGAGATGGCACTGTCACAAAGCAAAGGGGCATGGATGGTTTCCTCCGACAATTAGAACCTTAAGTGGTTCAGTTGCAACAGAAAATTCTGTATTTCAGCAGCAATGTTTATTATATTTCTCCCTAGTTTTTGAGGAAGCCTGTATTAGTCACATAAATTCCCTATCAAGAGCAATGGGAGATTATTACTTATTAATATTGATGTGTCATAGTTGACTGCTACTCCATCCTTATTTGGCAAGGGTTTCTAACTGTATTGCATCTGCAATTTTTTTTTTTAAAAATGTACTTTAATTTTCTGTCTTGTGACTACGTGACCTTAATTTGGCTTGACAATGAAGTATTTCCTGATTTAGTTCAAATATCAGAAAATATTTATAAGATTAACCTGAGTAACATGAATAAATTTTAAAAGAACCATCTTGAAAATACTTTTGCCCTATCCCATGTATTGATGCTTCAATTGTTTTACTTATATACACACATTCTTATAGAAGTTTCTCATATTTAAAAGAGAAGTCCATTACAAATGAATTTTATCCTCTTTATGGATTTTAAGTTGTAGTAAATCCATACAGAATCTGTCTCTTTCACATACACACAGGGCCCAGCATTAATAGATATGACTTTATGTATTCTTCAGTGAATACTGCGAAAAGTTCTTATTTTTAACAGGCAGTAGTTTGACTAATATTCCCATTACTTTTGTCTCATTTCTATTCTTTTCTAGACCATTTCATTTTCATCAGCAGAGACCCAAAGTGCTTAGGTTCATACAGCAGGCTTGTGCTAGCAGGTGAAATTCTTAACTTCCTTGCGTTTGCGTACTTGACATCCATGCTGCATTTGGAGGAACCCCCCCCCCCCGCCTCCTCAGCTTAAAAGCCATTCTGCCATGCAGCATGGGGCACATCCATTCAGAAAATGCAGGTTTAAAAGCCCCCCCTGGGCTCATGAACCAAGTTGCATAATTCTTTGGATCCTGATTGTGATTTTCTCAATCATCTGTTGCTCTCTTAGAGGGGCTCCATGCAACCATAGAACTTCCCTTACATACTGTTCTACTAGATAATGTACAAATAGATATGGACATGGTTATATCTGGAATACAACATTACTCAACATATTAGTATCATAATATGCCTTAGGTACTTGTTTAAGCAAAAGGAAACTTCACATGTCAGCAGATGGTTTTCATCTATTCTAGTGGAACAGGTACAGTAGCCTTCCCTAGCTTGGTGCCTTCCAGAATTTTTATACTTCATTTTCAGCCCCAGCCAGAACCAATGGTCAGGAATGCTGGGAGTTTTAGTCCAAAACCAAGTCACCAGGTTGTGCAAGACTGAATTAAAGAACCATTTGGATAAGCTTCAGGCCGAGACGGTCTATGCACCAGTACCTTGCAGCTGTTTCAGCTTCTGAAGCAACTTATTGCTGCTCCAGCACTCACAATAATTGCTATGGAGCTACCTTCATTTAGAGCTTCATTTACATTAAAGCTTGCCCACGAGATGCTGCATGAGGTGGCAGCTGCACTGACGTGTGAACGTGTGTGCACACATGCAGAGCATGGCTTTCAGTGGCACGAAATACACTCAGCACGGCTGTCATTCAACACTGTTCCATGCACTCAGGGTCTTCTCGGTTTGGCTTTCCTTTACTGTTCTGCTTCCATGCTGGGAAGCTCGGCTGGGTCCTCCCACGCAAAGCAGAAGTCAGTAGAAACAAGAGATGCCGTCGCCCTGTTTGCTACCCAGATAAGCTGACAAAGTCCTCCCAAGTGTAGCAATAATACCATTGCCACCTGGACTGTAACCACCATTTACTGATATGACTATTTACTGGCTCTTACTTAGGTGCTACACCTTCCCTGCACTGTATCAGACTAAAGGTGGAGGCTCATGGCTGAACATTCCTCTAAAACTAACTGTTTGAAGAGACTGCCTTGTCCTGCCTTCACTCTAACTTGTTAATTTTCTATGGCATAGTCCCCCCCCCCCCCGCTTCTGGTAGAGGAGCATTCAGTCACCAGCAGTTTGAATCAAAGAAGTTCTGGTACCCTAACAAGATATTGCTTACAGCTGTAAGACTTCTCAAACCAGGCACTAGCTGCATATGGAGCAGCAGTGGCTACGCTTACTTATGGAACTGTAAAATCAAGCAGTTGAAAGAGAAGTGATAGCTGGCTATCAGCTATACAGTGCGCAATAGCATACCTTATTGCCACATTTCTCTTACATATCACACCCTTTAATTTGATGTAATTATGGATCAAAGCAGCCATAACTAGAGC